GTAAGCAAACCTCATAATCATCTTGATGCCTTGATTTCACAATTGTTTCCAACTTTAAGACCAATTCTACTTCAAAGACTCCTCCTCATTTTCTTTATTGATTGGCAGCATATGTGAGGAACTTTTGGCACTTTCTTCATGCTCATGGAGATTTGAGATATCAACATCATGATCTCCATTTGCTTCAAGAACTCTTTGATTAGACAAGTTGATAGGATCAACTTCTTCATCAGTGTTAACTTCAGGAGTACTTCCACAACTCTCAGAATCTTCATTTTCTTTTTGGTGATACATTCTTTTAACTGTATCTAAAATTTCTTTAGCATTTGTACAATCTTTAATTTCTACATAGTCAGCCCTTGTTAGTGCTATATACAGTAAATAAATAGCTTTTATATTCAACTTAAACAAATTTCTTTTCATGCTCAAGTAAATCTCTCTTATGTCCAATTTTAAAATCATTTTTAACACATGATTTAAATTTCCAAATGTCAAAACTGATATTTTCTGAAACTAGATAGTGATAGAATGTCATATCCACCATAAAATTAATAATTTTCCATTGTTAAGTCCTTTCAACAAGTGACCGAGCTTTGATACCAAATGTAAGATCAGACAGCAACACCTAAAAGGGGGTAAATGGGTGGTTAGAAAAATTTTTGTTTTCTTAAACTTTTAGAATTGTAAGCATGGTTGAAGATACAACTAAATTTTAACGAAATAAATCAAAGAGTAATCTAAATACTTTAGTTACATATTTCAAAAAACCTTGTGAAATATAAATTCTTTTAATATAATAACTAAGAGAGTATGCAAGTATGAATGACCTAAGTTTAAAGAGAGTAGAGTTATAAAAACACTATGCAGTCAATTTATCTTGGTTCAACTAACTACTTGGCTTATATCAATTCCCAAGCTCACTTGAGTTTTTTACTATGACACAAGCATCAATGGGTTCTACCTTAGTACAATCCACATGCTTTCTCTAGAACTTGTAAATTGTTTACAAGGTCTCTTACTACACTAGTAATCCTCCTTAATTTCTCACTAAGAATAGTGGAGCACTCTCTTAATATAATAAGGCAATCTTTCCTTGAATCTCTTCAATGATAGAGATTATATTTTTTCTATCAGATTCTCTCTCAAAGAGATAACCTGAAAACTCTTAAGCATACTTAGAAACTTTCTCAAAGAGTAAATTTAACAATTTAAGCTAAAAATTAGCTTGAGAGCCTTTTACATTAACACAGTGAAAAATGAAATTTATGCAAATTGCACATTTTCAATCTATTTAGGCATTACCCACTAACTCAAATGAGGTCTTTTTTATATATTTTCATTGTTAGATCATTGGAACCCATAAGGTACAAAATATAGACGTTATACACATGTGGAAGTGATCTATGATAGAGAAAGCACTTTTCCTGTGCATTAAATGCTGTTAGAACTCTTCATTCACACATGGATAAGAGTGATTCCAGCATAGATGATTTTTCTTCACTTTAGCTCACTTATCACCTTACATTGATCCAAGCTTGATCCAATTAGGGTTCAAGCATGTATGATGAGTCCAAACACATGGGTAAATTAAGTACTACGCATGAATGAATGTTATAGAGGCACCTTGCCTCTTGTGATGTGAATCATGCTTTGGAAAATTCTAAAACCAAGCTTGAATAGCTTGTTCAATACTAGGCTTACTCTAAGTAAGGCTTGAAGATTAAACAAATGATTTATCTATCAAGCATGGATTCAATAGAATCCAAGCATGGATTACTTCTTAGGAATGGTTCAAGCTGACACTAAGGATCAATCCAGCATGGTAAAAATAACATCTAAGCTTGAATCAAATTACAAAGGTGCAACCAAGATATTTCTCCACACTATCTTGCCAATCAAGTGTAGACACAAGGGATTCCAAACGTGAACCAACATATAGTTCTATGTCTTTACTTCTGAATCTCTAATTAAAGCAAGGTCTAGTTATGGTTCAAGCTTGAATATGAGATCCTCTAAGTCCTATATGCACAAAGATGATCAAACATGCATAGGACACTTATAATCTAAGCATGAATGAAACAATTTGAAACATAAGTGCATGCAGATATGTGCTAAACACTCATGGACATTTTTTGTCCTTGCCTAGATAATACTTTTTAACCTTAAGGACTTATGAGCTTATAACTTTCTATATGATGCAAACCTTTTCATTTTCAAATATTTAGCTTTATTTTTCACAAATTTATTTATATATGAGAAGAGTAAAATAAATATCTATGAAAGCTTCTCTGTCTTCTCTTGATTCTTCATTCTCTTTAAGTGTAGCATATTCATATTGATCCCATTACTTGTTTCTTCATGCTCACTTACTTCTTGATATTTTGTTTCTTGATTTATGATATTTAATTAATTTGTAGAAGTAACAAATACATTCTCTTAGTTTTGTCATCATCAAAATATTTGGTCACTCAACAAAATAAAAACATCACTTTTTTGCATCTGGATAATGATAGTGGTTATAATTTTTAGGTATCTATGTATTTACACATCTATTTTTTTGCCCAATATATCTTAGCCCACTTAGTTTTTGAATTTTAATTTGTAAATTAGCTTAGATTATATATTTTTTCTGAATTAGTGTATAGGAAAAATATAGGGATTTTAACGATTAGTTTTTTTTCTGGTTGCTAGCTAGCTGTTACGTAGTTGATTTCTACATAAATTTGCAGGTGGGTTGCATGAAAAGCAATCCCCTTCTTAAAAAAATACTATAAATACTTAATTATTATCTCAAAATAATTGTCAAGTATACTTAAACTTAACAGTTATTTTAAAATAATTGTCAAGTATTCTCAAATACTCTATATTTATTATATAATAATCATCAAGTATTTATAGCAAATTTTCACCAGACTTGGCCAAATTTTTACCACAAATACTTGACTGTTATTTTATAATAACCATCAAGTATTCTCAAATATTTGATGGTTATTTTGAAATAATATCAAGTATTGGCTTCCAGAACAAGCTGAAAGCCAAGCCTAAAAACCAATATTTTACGATTATTATCAAATAACTTTCAAGTAAGGCCATCATTACTTGAATGTTATTAACCATCAAGTAAGGGGGCTGTAACATATAACCTTCAAGTATAGCAAAAAAATAATCGATAAGCAAGCAACATTGTGTGATAGTGAATGTAATGTGGTTGGCCAAGAAACCACGTCACTTATTGTAAACATGAATGTGGTTTCTAGGAAAACCAACTCACTTTTGTGTAGTAAAGTGACGTGACAAAACACATCACTTTTTAGCAAAAGTGACATGGCTTCTCTTATCCACATCACTACTAAAAGTGATGTGTATAAGCCAATTTTACAAGGTTCTCAATGTTATATCCCTCAATAGTGATGTGGAAGGACTTAAAAAAGCAATGTTAAAAGGGTTTTTGTTGTGGTGCAGACTGTTAAGACTTATTTCTATGATCCAAGTAAATTTTAAACTACTGAAAAAGAAATGGTTTACTAATGTGACCGCAAACACAAGTAGATCTCCATGAGAAAATAAATTGTAACCACCATTCCAAAAGTATTGAAAAAAATACTTCAATTATATTAAACCAGAAACACAACATAGAAAATAATACCAAGCCAGGAAATTATATTTGGGAACATAAAAATTGCTTACCCCAAGAGACAACTGAAAAAGGCAAGAATTATAGATGCTAAAATACTTGCAATAGTTCCTTTAACACTCACAGCCCCTTCAAGCTTAAACGTCCTCACTCTAAGTACTTGGACATTATGCAATGCAATTGTTAGAATTGAATATCCTAAGAAATACAAGACCAATTAGGAAGAAGGAAGTGTAACATAAACTATAAGGCAGTGTGAGGCATTCCATAAATATGAGGACTGAAACAATATGTGAAAAAATTTAGACTCGAAAAGGAGAAGGATGATGGTGGGTGTTTGGGAAAGTTGAGTTGATTGGGTGTCACAATACATATGAAGAAGAACAAAACGAAGAGAGATTATGCGAAAACACCTAATTGGAAAGACTAACATGTGAAAAGTGTAGTGATGACGAGAGAGTAGAAGAAACGAAGTAATAGAGACTGAAGGGTTCTAGGAAGAGAGAATATCGAAGTAGAAGATTCGGACTTACATAAGAGACATGCGAGAACGAGAATGAGAATACGTAACAGAGTAGCGAGCTAGCGACAGCCGACAGTGAATGCAAAGGGAGGGGCTTCGATGGGAGATTTCAAATAATAGGTGTTTTGAGAGAATTTCAAATTATAAAGGAATTGGAATTAAAAATAAAATTTTAGATGTTCAAACAAGAAATGCTACCCAAATCCAAATTTTTATGTATCCAAACACAGCCTTAAGAATTCATTAGTAATATCTTCTATTTATGATTTTGAATTATACTTTTGCCCATCATAATTTAAAATTTGTATTTAGTGAACACTTATGTTAACATCTTCTACAATAGTTATAGGGTATTTGTACCTCCGTTTTTTTTCAATTTCTTATTTCAAGCAAAAAAATTTAGTGCAATTAATGATTATAAAAAAAGAGCAATAATATTGTTTTCGCTCTAAGGTTGATAGAGACAACCCCTAGAGCTCATATTATTCATTGATGGCATGAACATCTCTTAGTGATTATGTACGAGGCCGATCATTTGATTAATATATAGACATTGTGTTTGATTTTAATAAAAAGAGTTTCATTATCATTATTACACTTGATTAAATACTAATTCACAGGCTGTTCTATATTTAAGAAAAAGAGCACATAATATTATTGCTCATGAGATTTTGGATCTTTCAAATTTTAAATTTTTGTTACATATGCCAAATGTCCACACATTATGTGATTATCCCAACATCAAGCAAAGCACATTATCATTATATAATCATCACAAAACCTGAAAGCAATAAATTAAGAAAGCAAGTAGAGAAGAAGGTATATAAAGACAACAATGCCAGATGATAAAAATGATGCCTTGCGTCAACAATAAGCTTATTATTATTCCAAATTGTTACAGAAAAATACAATGCAAAATGGATAACAAAAGAAGAAATAGAACATGATAATAGAACCACCAAATTATCAATGAACCATCATCAATCATATTATTTGAAGCAAGTAATTAAGCCATCTAATATATGAAATTAGAATGGCTAATATGACAATGCCTTGTCTAGATCATCAATAAGATCTTCAACATCCTCAATCCCCACAGAAACACGCACAAGATCTTTAGTTAAACCGATCTTTAGTTTCTGTTGTTCAGGCACACTGTCATGGGATGTATACCAGGGCAAGCATATTGAGGAACCTACACCGCCTACACAACATTCAACAACAAAATTAATAAGGAATTTTATTGAGGCTAATTTTGAAGGTATTAACTAATTATTTTAACCAAATTTGTTGATCTACATAAAGTTATTAATATTGAATCATAAATGATTGATGATTAGGAAGAGATTATATAGAATTCGAAATGCATGCTAGCTACTAAATTTTGTCATTGGCAACAAGAATATTCTCTATCACACCCTATCACCTTATTACCATTTTGATTAACTATGATATGTCATTCTCAAAGTAAAGAAATATAGTAAATTTAACAATTTAATTACATGACAATGTATATTCTCCAAAATACTTACCAAACTGACAGTCATGCTAAAGTAATCAGTAAGTTCAACAACTTGCTTTGAGAGTGGTAGTGAGCCTGTTTTAAAGCTAATCACAGATCCTGGCCCACTTGCCTATGAACACAAACTCAGTGAGCGGATAAAAATCTTTTGAGGAATATATAAGTGTGTGTGTGTGTGTGTGTGTGTGTGTGTGTCAATTGCAATATGTAAATTGTACCTGAGACTTATGCAGATCATATCCAGGATTACCAGGAAGACCAGGATAGTTTATTTCTGTTACTAGAGGATGGTTGGAAAGATATTCAGCAATCATTTGTGCATTTTTCTGCAAATTATAATATGTTTGTTAACTCACTGTTATAGATTTTTTTTGGTAGAAATAAAAATAATGACACTATAAATAAAGTAATTATGTTAGCAATTAAAACTTTAAATTGGATGCCTAGATATATAAATATACACTATCAAATTTTGAAAAACACAATTATTATTCAAAATTCATTAGTCCATGCCAACCAATATTTATAGTTTTAAAATAATCCAGCAGCAAGAATATCAAAAGAAAAAAAAAGGATCGTATTATCTATTAATTGAATAAGAAAACAAGAATTAAACCATTAGTTCATAGCATTAATAAGACTCTCAGTAAGTTTTCTTTATTTTAATTTTAACTATATATATTTACAGGTGTCTACATAAACAAACCAATTTATTGAAGGAATTGTACTCAAGTTACATAAATTGGCAGGAAAATTAATTGACATATTATTATGCATACAGACTTGAAACTATAATAATGTTTGTGAGGCACCTGTTTCTCCTCAACCCGTAAGGCCATTGTTTTGATTCCTTCCAAACATATCCAAGAGTCCAATGGAGGCAAGGCACAACCTGTAGCTTTTTTAAAAGAGTTTATGTGTTCTGCCAACCTTCATGGGATAAGAATCAAAGGCCAAAAAAATTAGAGGGAAAAAATTAGTTCAATAAAAAAGTTTATAGATTTAAACAAATGGAAAACGAAAGTGAAATAAAAAAAATACAATAGTAAATAGATCATATCTAAAGCTAGCTCCAGCTTGTCGTTTTTTTTTTTTCTTTTAACCATTGGCTTATAGATAATTAAAAAGAAAGTCATTCAAGTATTTATATAGCGGTCATGAAACCATGCAATTTTTTTTATGAAATATCCTTAAAAAACAGAAACTAAAGTTGTATGGTTTCATAACTACAAGATGCTATATGTTCTTATTTTATCTGTAAACTGTTGATTAAAATAAATGAGGAAAAGATTGGGAATATTATCTATTTGAAAACAAAGAATAAAGGAAGAAAGAACAATATAAGAATATTAATTATTTCATTATTAGTAATACTAAAGATCACAGGCACATAAAATGTTATGCATCATCACATACCGGTAAAAAAAAAAAATGCCATTGAATTTAAATTTAGTTAAAAAATTCCTGGTATACATATAATTGATGAAAAAAATGGATCATAAACAAATTAAATCAATATCTTAAACATATCTTAATTAAGTGTTTGAGACACAGATATATAAAAAGAGTTCCTACACTGGATTTCTCGTAGCAAGGCTTCCAGCCATACAACTGCTGTTTCCAGCAACAAATTTGGTAGCTGAATGCATAACAATATCTGGGAACAGAAAATAATAGCAACAATTAATCACTTAATGAGAATAATTAATTAAGAGCATATTATAAAGTTGGTATATAAAATTATACTTCATTATATATCGTTGCAAATGCGATATGAATACCTGCTCCAAGGTCCAACGGCTGACATAGCACAGGAGACATTACACTATTGTCCACCAATACAATAGCGCCATGTGCATGAGCTATCTCCGATATTGCCTGATGGACAAAAATCAATATAATGATGTAAATTAATTTTTAACATTTAAAAGAATTACATACTATTTTAGGTATGTTGAGTTATCCACCTTGATCAAGCCCTAAATCTAAGCCCGGGAAGTTATTTGAGTGTTAATCCCAACAGGGGCCTTATGTGTAATAATATATGTTTGGGGCCTTAAATGCATTTTTTCTCATCGTTTGGAGACGAGTGGGAGCAGTTTCTTTAGCTGCATGCACATCTGAAAACTACCCTATATGTGCATGGGAGTTATATGATGAGTAGTGTGTGAATCCTTTTCACTCTCTCATTTCAGACACTACAGGGAAAGAATTTCTTTCTTCTCTTCTCCTGTGATGTATTTATTATGAACCAAGAACTGGGTTTGAATAACTTCGTTCTTCCACGTAGAGGTGTTACTTAGTGCAAATGACATGTATGTTTCTCTAAAACTTACAAGATACATATATAATTATTTGCAAATAAGAACTAATATGAAATTGTTTGTTGTTAAAATGATAATAACGACTAGTTTTTTTCTAAATAGTAATTTATTGTTAGTCCTTATTGTGAATAATTCTCTTAAAAGGCCTTTGAATACAATTCTCATTATATAATTTAAACATATTATTTGAGGATGAGTGCATGCTTGAACTGAGAGTTATACAGGCATAGGGCTATGCTTTCTTACTACTTATTTGAAAGAAGAGAGGAAAAAATAAAATATATATATATATATATATTGATGGGCCCTTGTTAGCTGACGATCAAGAAGACAAATTAAAACAAAACAATTCAAACTTACAAAAGAAAATAACTTACTCGGATATCAGATATTTTTAGCTGAGGATTGCTAGGAGTCTCTAGCCACACCAACTTAGTCTTAAGTCCCATTGCTTCTTTCACCTTCTCCAGATCACTTGTATCTACTTTTCTGTCCACCGAGCAAGCAATATTACAACCTCGTCATCTTCTAGGAATCAATCTTACTGTAATTTGTTTTCATAAGCCATTACTTCACACAACAGGAAAAAGAATAATATATCCCAAAAGCTGAAAATCATACTTCACTGTGACTCCTTCCTTTCTCGCCATTAGATTGTTCAGGAAGTTATATGAACCACCATAGATATCCTCTACAGCAATGAGTTCATCACCTGCATTGGAAATATATTGAGATTCCAATGAAAACACTATAACATTTTTTATCTGTGGCAACAACCAAAATCATTGCAACAAGGTGCACAATTTTTATTAGGTGTTGAACTTGCCGTTGTTACTTATTATCTAAGGAAATGTTTTTCTTTTTTTCATATTTTGGGCCTCAAATCATAAAACCGTTGCTTACAGTAAAGCAATACTGAAACAGATTAAAGGAAGATGAGGAAGTGTACCAGGATTAACAAGTTCACAAGCAGCAGTCAAAGCAGACATTCCACTGCTGAAGCAATAGGCATAATCTGCGTTGTCAAGCTTCGCTAATAATCTGAGAATACAAAATAATTAAGCCATGTAAAAGAGAATGTAAAGAAAGAAGAAACATATATGTGCATATATAGACAAAATCAAGATAGGAAAATAATGTGGACAAACTTTTCCAAAGTATCTCGGGTAGGATTTGCACTTCTAGAATAGCCATAGTCACCAAATTCTGTTGCAGATTTCTGCATTGAGGGGGAAAAAAAACATGCAGAAGACAATTACAACATGAAAAGAAAATTTTGGAATACAGATACTAATTAAATAGTAAATATTTCTTCCAGTCCAAAATAGAAGTAACTTTTAACAATAATTAGCATACTGGTCAAAAAATAATAATTAGCATACCAATAAATTCTTATTCCCATGAAAGTATACATGTTTTTTTTTTTTTTTACCCTTAGTTCCACTCCATGATGAATAAGAAAAAGTCATAAATTCATAGGCACAAGAATCTAAGTTATTAATAAATACAAGGTGAAAAATAAAAAAAATTGCAACAACATTAAGATTTTATATTTTGGACCAAAATTAGCTAAAACAAAATGCTTATACTTTGGATGGGGGAATACACAATAACTAAAGAGCTTAGCATGCATAGATCAAATTCTCACCATTTTGAAGGTAGCGGTTTGGTAAATTGGTGTAGAGGTTGCTTTGTAAGGATCGAAGTCATTGTGGTAATTCACTAACACAGTGGACATACTTGGCTCTTTTGTCTCTTCTGCAAGTTACCAAACTATTAACATATAAAACAAGAATAAAACTGACACACACACACACACTCATATACAGTATAGATCAACAAGAGAAACACATCACAAACCAGTAGTTGGAACCCTCTTAGTGTCCACCAAAGCCGATTTGCTCTTAGTCTGCTGCTCTGTTTGGATTAAACAATTTAATCTGAAACCCTTTACAGCACTTGTGCTCTAAAACATAATAATGAGAAATGTTAATTAACACTATACTATATAAGGTGTTATGAAGACAAGTATAAAGGGAGGTCTCATTTCAAAAGACTAGTGTATTGAAAGAGAGAGATCATTAAACTTATAAATCCCATTTTGATGCAGGACTCATGACAATGTCACATTCTAACAGTTCTATTCTACAGCACTTCATTTAGCTTCCTGATAGTTAGAAGGCTCCACAACACATGGGTATATCGATTCTATGACACAGCATTTCAATGAAAATCCCAATGTTTATGAGCACAAATTCAAAAGAAAAGTCTATTTAAAAAGACTAATCTATTGAGAGGTAGAGTTCATTTTGAACTTATGAACATTACTTCACTTATAAAACTTTTCGATATGGGACTATTATGATATGATATGTTTAAAATAATGATAATATATCGTTACCTTAGTGTGGGGATTAACAGCGACCGAAGTAACGAAAGGGCAGAGAAAAGTTGAGGCCAATACCATCTTTGAAGATCAAGAAAGAAAGCGCTAGGTTTTGCTTATGATCTTCGATTAGATTCGCCGAATCTGATTCAAAATCGAAGCCATGAATGCACACATATATATACACACACATAGGCACAGTCACACATTGGAAAAAAAAAAATTGTTTTTGAAGACACACGTGTTCACATGTCAACTTGAAGTAATTTATTATTTAATTAACTTTGGCACCGATCGAAATGACCTTTTCCCCCTCCACTCCGACTGATCTTTCTTCACTCCAAAACCAAGGCCATTTCAAAATCGATATCCTTGTTTTACCTATCGCATAGAACAAAAAATCATTAAAACTTAACAACTTACAAAATATTATTGAGATCTGTGTCCCCAATTATTTATTTTAGTTTTTTCGAGCCTCCACAAAGAGCATGCATTCAATGTTTTCTTTCCTATCTTGTTATTTTATACAATTAAATATCATGAGTAATAGGAAAACGGAACTTATATTAAGAGTATAAAATATATTATATCTATAGGTGGATATGCATGTGTGTGTCTTTGTGTTATTTAAGTACATAGTTAAAATATATATTTTGTGTGTGTTTATTTACATTGTGTCTCTTTCTTATTTATGTGAAATTTAAATTGTTTTTAAATATATTTATATTATTTCTATTGATCAACCAATGCCAATCAGATTTTTTAATATGCTGATTTTAAGGATTTTTCATGCGTAAAATTTTGTTATAGGAAAGGAAATTAAATCATCTAAAGTTGAAACTGAATTTTAGTTAAGTTTTTTTAAATATTTTTGTATCATTTTATAAATATAAAAAAATATTCTTTCTTTGAAAGCAAACTTCATAGAAATTTATAGATTTTAACTTTAGAAGATTTAAATCTGATAGGCAAAGCTTAAGAGTAGTGTTCATAGATTTAGTTTGGTTCAATTTTGAGGAAAAAAACCAAACTAAAACAATCCAATCCGTTCACCAAATACTTGATTATAAATTTTGAAAAATTATTGACAGCATATAGTTAATTGTGATAGATTTTTTTATTACTGATTTACAAATAACTAAAATTAGGGAAGAAAAGAAACTTAAAGGAATTTATAAAAATATATAAATTAAATATAATAAGGTTTGGTTCAGTTTGATTTAAGTTTTAATAGATAAAAACTTAAAACCAAACCACACTAATTGATTCATGTTAATTTGGATTGATATGATCAGTTTGGATCGATCTTAAATGAATTGATGACACCCACACAATTATTTTGAGAACTTTTAGAGCCTTATTGGAGCATATTGAAGACAGCAAAATTCTGAGAGTTTTGTATTTTCTTTTTTTATACATCGGAAAACGCAAGATTAGTTATTCTTCCCAATAAACTTGTTTCTTTATATTTATGGAGATAATGAAATTTTTAGTTTCTTAAGTTTATCTCAATTATTGATCGCTAAAGTAATATAATCTTTATTAATGAAATTTCAAAAGTTGTATAATCATATGCAATTAGTCATGACGGTTTGAATAGGAAATAACACTACAAAAAATAATTGTATTATGATGTAAAATTTTAAGGGTTTGATTAATAAAGATTATATTTCTGAAACTAATTTAATAATTAAAACAATTTTAAGGGACAAAAAAATTTATTATTCCTTATATTTGTGATATGGCGGGATTGTAATACTGCTTTAATTGTGATTTTTATTTCTGATTTAGATTTGCAATTGTCAAAAGCAACTGTAGTTGTGAAATATTCTTGAATCTCACATACAGGGCGAATTTTTAAAATTTCAGTCCCAGCGTAACATGTTAAATTCTAATTAATTTTGTGTTCTACAGCTGAATTTTTTTTTTTTTTACCAACAGGGTGTGCTACATGCAGCTGATTAATTATTAATTAATTAATTTTTTTGGGAGTGACACACTTGACGAGCAAAATATTGAATTAATTCAATATTAAGACTAATTGACTTAAAGATTTGAGAAAAGTAAACTAAGGGGTTAAATGTCTTTTCAATGATTTTAGATTATTCATTCATTTACAACTTGATATCCATTAATTTATAATTTATATTTGTCTATTTATAAAAGAAAAACAAGGAAAATGTAACTTATTAAAAATAAAAACAAATTAATCTGTAAGTCTTTCTAATTTAAGAGCTAATGAAACTTTTAATCCCTCTAGTTTGTATCAATTATTAATTTAGTCCTTTAAGTTTAATTTTTATCCATTTCACCCCTTACATTTACATGAATTATCAATTTGGTGCTTAATTGTTTAACTAGGAGGTAATAATGCTGTTAAAATTTGCTGACATAGATAACAGAATCTTTATAGCATCCATATAGATTAATAAAAATAAGTGTGATGATTTAGACAGAAAAAAAAAAGGCTCAAATTTTTTTTAAAAAATAAAAGAATAATACACAACATAAGAGACTAAATTAACAAAAATTAAAAAAAAATTGAGGGTTAATTTGTATCATTTAGCTACATTTATATGTCAAGTTATCAAAATACTTTATAAGTTAGATTAATCTAAGACCAAATTTGTTTTTTAAAACTTAAAGAACTACTATGCTAACTTAAGAAAACATAAAAAATTAAATTGATAAAATTTAAATTTAAAATGTCAAATCAATAACCGAGCCAAATTTAAGAACTTAAAAGTTTCTTGATCCTGTAATTTAATTTAATATTTAAAGATTAATATATAACATATCAAATTAGTCGGGTTCACATTACACGCCTGCCTCGCCACTTGCCAGTAAATTTTTTGTTTTGTTTTTATTTAACAAATATTCATTAATTAGAACAAATTAAACAACATTGAATAGTCAACAAAGGATAACCACGACGCAATCAGTAGCTAAATAAAGGCCAAGCCAGGGGCAAAGCAGTAAGCATTGATAAATAAATTTCTTTAAAATAGACAGATGATAAAATAATAATATAAAATGAGATAATTATTTTAAAGTCCATTGGTACTCATCTATCTAAATTTTTCTGACTTTTATATAATAATAGAAAACATAATTGTTAAAATTTAAACTAAAATTGTTAATAGTTGATGCGTATTGAACTTATAATTAACTGTGTTGTCAATATTTAAATTAAAATTGTTAAATTCTAAATTGAAGTTGTTAATATAAAAAAAATAATTGTTATTAACATTTTAAGATCTTTAATTTATTTATTAAAAACTATACTTTTTATTATTTTTCTGAAGCTTAAAAACATAATTTTGCAAAAATAAAAAGTATATCAAATTAATCTCTAGAGAATTAAAAGCAAAGGAAAGCATAAATTTAAATTCCTACACTTTATTTGTATTTTATTATAGATCCTTGTACTTTTTTTTAGGTATTCTAGATCTTTGTTTTTTGGTATTTTAAGTTTCTAAATGAACAAAGTGTAGAGATTTTGAAAGAATCTAAAATACCAAATAATATAAGTGTAGAAACTTAAAATACTGAAAAAAAAAATTTATAATAAAATACGAGCAAAATGTAATAATTTAAAGTTATATTTTTTATAAAAATAATTATTATATTTTATAATACTTATTTATTATTTATTTATTTCGATAAGATTTATTTATCAGCCTGCCAAGAGGTTTACATGGATGAAGACATAACGGACAAGGACAAACAAAAAGAAAAAACTCCATCCGGAACCATCAAGGCATCACGGTCAGCCAAACTTTGGCTTTCGAGATTATTGACCAACCTATTGATTACCTTAGACTTTCCGTTTTTGTCCAACGATTATCTTGGAGTGTCAGCCATTGATTACTTTAGATTTTCTTTTTCTGGCCAACGATTACCTTGGATCCTTTGGATTCTAAACCTTGTAATATTTAACCCTTTTATTATTAATATAATTTGGTTTGCTATTTAAAAAAAAAATACTCATCTGTCTAGAACCAATATTTTAGTGTGCCATTTATTTTTAAGCTAAAGATCATTTTTATAAGAGCACTGGACAGTCTGTATTTTAAGTTAAGACAATATCCTCTAAATATTTTTTAGGAATAAAATTGTCATTCCATCAGTGTCTCGTAATCTTCTTCATTATTTGCTAAAGATGAATACTAAAGAGACCCAAGCATAATAACAGCAGTGCATTTTAACCCATTTTAATTATCTAATGTGGGTTAAAGAGACTGTAAGTGATAATGGCATTATTAGGAAACGGACATGATTTTTAGTGGTGGAAACTGGAAAGGCAGCAAAATGCATTAAAATGCCTTGCTATCTATGGTGTGTGTGAGCCCCATAATTATTTCATATTATGATCAACAGATAATGAAAAAAATGATGACTTTCTAATAAAAAGGGGATTTTACTGCTTAAAAAATTATTGTCTCACCCTTTTCAATATGCCCAAGAAAGTCTAGGGAAAAAATACTTTTATTTTTAAATATGCCCAAGATATTTCATGTGAGTGAGTGAGGACAACGCTGACACGTCCAAGATATTCGATCCAGTTTTTTCGCCGAAGACTACGTAACGTGACGGTGAGGAATCGAATGTAGATTGGTTTCGTGTGAACAGTGAACGAGACAGCCTAATCTTAACATGACTCCATATTATATTAACAAAAAAAAAACTTAATTATATAAAAATATATTACACCATATTCCGATTTGTTTATTTAATTAATTAAAAATTAATTAGCCGCAGCACAGAGAGCGGTGATGGATATGATATTATATAATTATTAAGAATAATTGCAATAGGGCATGACTAGATGAGGTCGATTCTAAATAATTAGGTATAAAAATATTTTATTACAATATTTAAAAGCTATATTATTGCTATTATTATAATTTTTTTTCTTAGTCTAAGGCTGCTATTACTATATTTTATTCCAATGAGTGATGAATGATTAGTTTTAAATATATTTTAATTATAATTATTAAACTAACACGTTTTCGCATCATTAAAATACATTATCTTCCATCGTACACACACATGCATATTTTACTTAATTAATTTGCTACTAATTCTCATTTAAAGAAGATGAAATTGTTGGATTGATTGGAAAATAAAGTATTTTGAATAATAAAAAGA